CTTTATGTCTGTCAGACTGCAAATGCTTACTGTGTGATTTGGTAGTAATGGTTTTATGGCATTTTGAAATATGTTAAAATTTATGATCATTTGCAGTTCAGATTCTTTGAGTGATTGGTAATTGTTACCGAGAGCGACACCATCCAGAGACCAGGGCATTATGCAAACCCAAACACCCAACCTAACCTTTCCTATCTTCTCTTTATTACCTAAACAGGGGGGCAAGCCCCCCTGTACCCCCAATTTATTAGCACTTTGAGCCAATGTATTGAAAATGGACATTAAGAACTCTGGCTGTGTGAAGGTGTTGTGGACTTGATCTCAGTGATATGCAGCAGACATTTCTGTCATTTACAAGTAAATATTAGGCCGCTTTAGCTTAAACTATGTTGTTTCTTATTCCATTTCTTACGCTCAATAAGATGGCCTTGTCCATTTCCCTCTAACTCCGTATGTTGCTCTCGGCGACCTATACTGGGTGATTTTTGGTACATAAATTGGTTTAAAATGTTTTAGTATATTTTTTGAATAGATAATTGGTATTTAGTTTTACTGTGTGTTTTAGGATGCAGAGATGATTTTGTATATATCATTATCTCTTGCAGCGGCTTTAAATTTGTAATTACATTGGATGCTTATCTAAATTTAATTGAAATTTGCTATGATCTATGATGTATGGTTTATATAGTCTGAAGTCCAAGCCATCTGAGTACTCAGTGGTTCAATAGGCTAAGGCTTCCATGTACTCTTAAAGTGTTTAGTGAATTTGAGCCTCTTTGGTGCCATGAATGATTAGGACCCTACCTATTGTTAGCGAAGTGAGGAAATTAGAGATCTCAAGAACCGGTAGCTTAAAGCTGTGTCATTTCATATGTGCCTTCGATATCATTATTTATATATCAGACTATTACTATTACATCTGTGCTTTTTACTTTGTAAAATGCAAAAATCCAAGTACTCTTCTGGTGACTATTCTTTAATTTTTTTTGCTATAAATGACCAGGTGTGCAAGCTGTGTCTTACCAGACATTGTGATGGCATTTTGTATGCCTATGCTGAAGTGTCAGTAGGTGGGGTAGCTAAATCGCTGGATGTGGAGTTAGTAGTTGAAACACAGTTGTTCTCAAAAACATTGGATTCTAATGGTCATATGATCTGCCAGAGTAAGAATTGCTGTGTGTCATAGTGGAATTTTAGATAACTGAAAAAGATATATATATTTTATGAGACTGGTCCCTAGATACACTGCCCCCCCCCACCTTACGGATATGGAGTTGCTATATACTCCCCATTTGAGAGCCATGCAATCTGTAGTCATACGAGACCTTTGGTGATTTATTCTGTTAGAGACTTAAACTAGTGTGCATTATTCGTTTGGTTTGATTTAATTTGTAGTGACTGAGGTCAATGACATTGTGATATGCCAAGGTTGTTGAGGAAAAAAAAATTGACTGCATGTATTTTTACAGTGCTTTAGACTTTAGACTTTTAGACTTTAACCTCAGTGTAGAAAGATTGATGGAGTTATGATTTATAAGGATAAAGCATTTGCGATTTGAGAAGCACTCTTTACTGTAATATCATCGTTGTGGTTTTCTTACCTGTGTTATTGGCCTGTTGCTGACAAGGAAAACCACAAGTAGAAGGAACAGCACAGAACCTGAAATAGTTCTGTGGTTACTCTTGTCTCATATTAATTTGATAAGAAGTTTGTAGATGATGAAGAGAATGTAGAAAAATATTTTATTTGTGAATTTATTTATGTTTATGATTATGAACTGATAAAGACATTGACTCTTTTTTTTTTTTTTTTTTTGTAAAATCACATTTTATTGGTTGAATATTTATTGTTTATTTGTTTTTATAAATTGCATATCTGGTTGGTTTCAAGTGAATTCTATTCTTGTTTTATGGATTCCAAGAAGTACTTTCATTAGTTGTATTAGTATTTTATTTTGTTTTTAAAAGCCACTTGTAGGTAATGTTAACATAATTTAGTCTTTTGTGATATCTAAACTGTCAGACATTTGTTCATGAACCTTGTAGTCTTTATCATATCACAGTTTTAGTAGCCCCATTGGAAAGATATGTCCTTATCACTGTCGTGTTTACATTTATAATTGAAGACCAAGCATTTCTATGAAACCAATTTGAATTCATTAAGAATATTTTCTTTTTTAATTATTTAGTCTCATAAATTGTATCTTAAATTTAGATATTGTCACCAGACAACCTAAAAATCAACTGTGCCTTCAGTTTCATGAAATACATAGGAAACTGTTATCAATTATTTCAGTGGCCAAAGATAGGTATCAATGACAAATGCTGTTCGTTGTGATATTTATCATTGCTGCCTTTTTATATGATTGTAAATACAACCATACATATAGATATGAATATAGATATAAATATAGATGATATAATAGTAGAAAATAGTTGAAAAAAATGCACAAAATTACATGAACAAGCATATGCACATGCACACGCACACGGACATGCA